GCGGAGGGGTGGCGGTTATTATTAACGAGGATCTGGGTCTGAGGGAGACCACTGTGCCTCAGATAGCCGGATGTGAGTCCCTCCTTGTGAGTTGGGGCCGTGGGGTTCAGATGGGCTTGTTGCTTACGTACCTGGCTCCCTGCCGCGTGGCAACAGCTCTACCTGAGCTACTCGACGTGATAGCCACGGTGGCAGTAGATACACCCAGGCTTTTAGTCATGGGTGATTTCAACTTGCCATCCGTTGGTGAAACGTCTGAGGTGACTCGGGAGTTCATGGCTTCCATGACGGCCATGGACCTGACCCAGTTAGTTCATGGCCCTACTCACAGGGGAGGTCACACTCTGGATCTGATTTTTGTCTCTGGCCAGTGGTTGAGTGGTCTTGTTATAGGGGATATAGACATGGAACCCTTGTCATGGACTGACCACTCACTCCTTCGCCTAGATCTTCGAACCGCGACCCCTCGCCGCAGGGAGGCGGACCCAATTAGATGGATCCACCCCAGGCGCCTGATGGATCCTGATAGGTTCCAGACGGAGCTTGGGCCATTTCCTGAGGATCTAGCACATGACTCGGCCGAGGACCTGGTAGCCGCCTGGGATCGGGCGGCTGGTGGGGCCTTGGACCGAGTTGTGCCTTTGCGGCCTCTGACCCGATGCCGATCCCGTGCGGCTCCTTGGTTTACTGAGGAGCTGAGGGAAATGAAGTGCCGGAAAAGACGCCTGGAGAGCGGTTGGAGGGCCAGTCTCGCTGAATCTGATCGAACACTGGTAAGGTTACATATTAAGGCCTACCTAGTGGCGATGGAGACGGCAAAGTCTAACTACTTTTCCGCCTCTATTGCGTCATCAGGGAATCGTCCGGCCGCCCTGTTTAGGGTGACCCGCGCCCTGCTCCATCTGGGAGTGCGGGAGGATCCCTTAGAAGGCAGGGCGGAGGATTTCGGACAATACCTGTATGACAAAATCGCTCAGATCCGGGGGAATCTGGACTCTGACTGGGTAGGTCAGGGCAGGGTGATGAGGAACAGTCTTGAGAATGTTATCTGGGAGGAGTTTGATGCTGTGACTCCTGATGATGTGGACAGGATTTTGGGGAGACTTAGTGCGGCCACATGTTTACTGAACCCGTGTCCCTCCTGGTTGGTACTGGCTTCCCGGGAGGTTACACGAGGCTGGCTCCAGGGCGTCATTAATGCTTCGTTGAGTGAGGATCACTTCCCCGCTGCCCTGAAAGAGGCGGTGGTGAGGCCTCTCCTCAAGAAGCCGTCCCTGGATCCAGCAATATTGGCCAACTATCGTCCTGTCTCCAACCTCCGCTTCATTGCGAAGGTTGTTGAGAGTGTGGTCGCGCAACAGTTTCCGCAATTCCTGGAGGAAACATCCTATCTAGATCCGTTCCAGTCGGGTTTCAGGTCTGGGCACAGCACGGAAATGGCATTGGTCGCGTTGGTGGATGATCTCTGGAGGGCTCGGGACAGGGGTTATTCCTCTGTTCTGGTCCTATTAGATCTCTCAGCGGCTTTTGATACCATCGACCATGGTATCATGCTGCACCGGCTGGAAGAGTTGGGGGTGGGAGGCACTGTGTTGTGGTGGTTCTCCTCCTTTCTCTCCGACCGGTCGCAGTTTGTGTTGGCAGGGGGGCAGAGGTCCACCTCGAGGCCTCTCATTTGTGGAGTGCCGCAGGGATCGGTCCTCTCGCCCCTTCTGTTCAACATTTATGTGAAGCCGCTGGGCGAGATCATCCATGGGTTTGGGGTGAGATACCACCAGTACGCTGATGACACCCAGCTGTACATCTCCACCCCAGGCCACCCCAACGATGCCCTTGAAGTGATGTCCCAGTGCCTGGAGGCTCTACAGATCTGGATGGGGAGGAACAGGCTCAGGCTCAACCCTTCCAAGACTGAGTGGCTGTGGCTCCCGGCATCCCGATATAGTCAGTTGACTCCATCGCTGACTATTGGGGGCGAGTCTTTGGCCCCCACTGAAAGGGCTCGCAATCTGGGAGTCCTCCTGGATAGGCAGCTGTCTTTGGAGGAACATCTAACGGCTGTTACCAGGGGGACCTTTTATCAGGTTCGCCTGATTCGCCAGTTGCGGCCCTTTCTTGATCGGGATTCCTTGTGCACAGTCACTCACACCCTCGTCACCTCTCGCCTTGACTACTGCAACGCTCTCTACATGGGGCTCCCCTTGAAGAGCACCCGGAGGCTCCAGCTGGTCCAGAATGCAGCAGCGCGGGTAGTGATGGGAGCAACATGGCGCTCCCATGTAACACCGCTCCTGCGCAAGCTGCACTGGCTCCCGGTGGTCTTCCGGGTGCGCTTCAAGGTGTTGGTTATCACCTTTAAAGCGCTCCATGGCATAGGGCCTAGCTATCTCCGAGACCGCCTGCTGCTACCGACGACCTCCCATCGACCCGTGCGCTCCCACAGAGAGGGCCTCCTCAGGGTGCCATCAGCCAAACAATGTAGGCTGGTGACCCCCAGGGGGGAGGGCCTTCTCTGTGGGGGCACCTACCCTCTGGAATCAGCTGCCCCCAGAGATAAGAAGAATCCATGACCTCAATGCCTTCCGTCGTTCCCTGAAAACCTATCTTTTTCAGCAAGCCGGGTTGGCTTAGAAGAAATTTTTAGATTCTTTTAATTAGTTTGTGATTCTTAACTTTCGGGCCAATATTTATATATATTTTTAAATGTTTTAATATTTGTATTCTATGTTTTTTATCTTGGCTGTACACCACCCTGAGTCCTCAGGGAGAAGGGCGGTATATAAATTGGAAATTAAATTAAATTAAATTAAATTAAAATGGTTCTGGAACTTCACTGAAAGCTGGTAATTTGCATACCTATTGCTGAGATGGAATGTGGCTACTTCTGTTTTTGTTAGGCTTGGTTGGAGGCATCATTTTTAAAAATAGTCATCCATCTTCTGGAGATCTTGAGAGAGGATGTCCTCTGCATAACTGAAGTTGGCTCTGGTTCTTTTTATTTATTTCAGGCCTTAGTCTAGTACAAATCTGGTAATATTCATGAGTGACATAAAATACAATGCTCTGGTGAAAATCTGATGGCTGAAAGTTTATAGTAAAGGCAGCGACCCATTCTGCTGATTTCACCATCAAAAATTGGTAGCAGTTATTTGTTGATTTGGGTTTTTTTAATATTCTAAAAATGATTTGAACTTAAAAAAAAACCCATATAGGGTAACCTCTGCATCTCCTTCCCAAAGAGATACCCAAAACTTGCCAATAAAAATGACCACACCATCTGCATCATTTCACAGATCTGCTGCTTCACAGATCACCTGTTCTGCATCATTTAGTGTCTTTTTAGATCGAAACTACCGTATTTTTCAGAGTATAAAACACACCTTTTTTCCCCAAAAAAAGAGGGTGAAAATCTGGGTGGGTCTTATACTCCGAATGTAGCCCTGCCCAGTCTCCCAAACGGAGATTTCAGAAGCTGAAAGAAGCCTCTGAAAGAAGCTTCAGAAAAAAAGCCTCTGAAAGGCTTTTATCTAAAATAATAAGGCAAGCAACAAAAGAAGAATCAGTAAAGGTTCTAACCAAACTATGCTAATAAATCTGGAGAATGACACAATAACCAACAGATCAGAAGAGGTTAATCTACATACCAATACCAAAGAAAGGAGATTGAACAGAGTACAGATAGTCCTTCAGAATAAAAGCCTCTGAAAGAAGCTTAAGAAAAAAAAGCCTTTTTTTCTGAAGCTCTGTTTCGGAGGCTTTCAGAGGCAGAAAAAAAAGTTTTTTCTGAAACAGAGTTTCAGAGGCTGAAAAGAAAGCAAGGCACAGAGCTCACAACCAACAAACCTGTTGCTAAAATTCACCTCTGGAAACAGCTGATTGGGGGTATTCCGGGAGGCCGATCCACCCACCAATCAGCTTTTTTTCTTATTTTCCTCCCCAAAAACTAAGGTGTGTCTTACACTCCGGTGTGTGTTATACTCTGAAAAATACGGTATCTATATATTTACTAAACAAGCAATATTCAGTCATGCCCTGTAGGGCATTTGATTGGTTGAGCTGATTAATTTTGTGTATCACTACCTATAAAGCTAATCTCACAAAATATTGATTCTGAATTGGAAGTTAAGCTGGAGACATGACAACCTCTTCTGACTATATTAAAATATTAAAGATCCATGAAATTTTGCAACTTTTTGGGATGAGAGGTAGTATACAGGACTGCTTTATTGACAATTCCTGTCAAAATAGTATTCTATATGTGTGGCCATTCATTTGTAAAGAATTCTTTTGACCACCAATATAAACCATTATGTATTGGACATAATAACACCTAATGAGAAGGAAGGACTCACTGGAGAAGAGCCTAATGCTGGGAAAGATTGAGGGCAAAAGAAGAACGGGACAACAGAGAATGAGGTGGATGGATGGAGTCACTGAAGCAGTAGGCGTGAGTTTAAATGGACTCCAGAGGATGGTAGAGGACAGGAAGGCCTGGAGGAACATTGTCCATGGGGTCACGATGGGTTGGACACGACTTCACAACTAACAACAACAACAAATATTGGACATACCAAATATACATAAAAGATAACATGCACTTTTAGAAAATACAGTGATAAGTGACTTGGTCATGCATAGTGGGAGGAGAGTATCCTAATGCTTTAAAAGAAATCCTTTAATTAGACAAATGAACTTTTATAAAATCCTTGCAAGCTCTTAAATGTCAAGCACTCTTCATGAGACAAGATGGGGAAAAGGGAGTGGGATGGGAAAATGTGGTTGAATCACATCTCTATTTAGAGACATTATTAGATGGTGTACTGGAGAATCTTCCCGCAAATTGAGTTTATTAGATACAGAGCAGTGCTTTGCTTCTTGCTCTATAGTTTTTAGAATTTGCCATGCTCCTTAATTTATTTCATGCTTTATCTTTGAAAGATTTTTCCAAGAATGCCTCTAAACTGCAAATAGGCTCCAAAAGCTACATTAGACAGTATAAATGAAGGGCAGATTCCATGCTTTATTTGGCTGTATGTCCTCTTATCTGGAAAACAAAGATAAGTCAGTATGAAGCATCATGCTAGGAAGGGAAAATCTAGCTGGATAACAGGTGTCTCCCAACTGTTTAGACTTTAGATCCTCAATGACAGGCAATTTGTTCAAGTTCCCCCCAACCTCAGCAGTCAGTTTGCAAGAACCCACACGGTCTTAAAATTGCAAATGTGCACATCAGTCAAAAAAAAGTTTGAGGTCTCAAAAGTACTGCTAATCTCTAACATTTTCCTAGGAAAAGAAAAACGTGCATCTGATCAGTTACATCCCCTTTTTATGGAAAATTCAGTTCCTGCATTCCTCCCGTGTGAGATAGACTTGGTCAGCCTGTCTGTTGTGTGGACGTTGCGGCGGCCTGCAAACGACATTCATCGCAAGGGATTCATTATATTGCTTTAAAATAAGCGTTGCCTTTACATGCAGCGTTATGTGAATTGCCTTCCTGACAGCTTTACCACCGCATCGGTTTAACAGTCTCCCTACGCTCTGCCTTTTCTCTGTGACGTTTCACGGCGAGGCCATGGCAGTTGAAGTAGCGACGGCTCAAAGCCTCTAGGGGGAGCCCGCGGCAAGGCCGCAAGGGGCCCAGGCTACCGGAGCCAGCTGGGCCTGCTCCGTACCGCTTCTTTCGGCCTCTTCTCTATCGTGCGCTCTCCGTCTCCAAGCCATCCCACTTTCGCATCACACCTCACCCGCCTGCGCGGCCGGACTGCGTCACCCGGACAAGATGGAGACCGCCGAGGAAGGTAACGTCCTAGAGACCGCTCGCGTTCGCGGGGCTAAGGCCAGGGCCAGGGCCAGGACGAGGGTGGGAGAGGCGCCTCGGGGAGCCGGAGAAAGGTAGTCACCTTTCGGGACCGTATTTGTGCTCTACAGACACATACACAAACCCCAGTGCCTGGCCGTCCGAGGCCTGTTGAGGCGCCTGCAGATGTCTGAATTGCTCTACAGTGTAATGGGTACAAGACGAAGAAAGAGTTTGGACTGTGGAGTTGTTGGTGCATAAATGTGTACGTATTGAGGCATGTGGCAAGTGGCAGAGACGGTTCAGCAAACACTGTGTGTGTGTGTGTGTGTGTGTGTGTGTGTGTGTGTGTGTGTGTGTGGTTGCTGCTGTTGTTGTGATACGTGCTGCTATTCCTAAAGGGAGTCCTGGGTCAGAATGGGAAGGAAGTTGCCTTGTTTGAAAATATGGCACATCTGTAGGTGCCTTGATCGGTGTCGTCTTATTTTGAAGTTTTTTTGTTTTTTTTTTTAAATTTGATTTATATGCCGCCCTTCTCCGGAGAAAAAGTTGTGGCCTGGATGCAGGTGTTTTGGATTAGTGTGCCTAAGGGGTTACACCGAACCTGGCATTAAGGAATAAAAAGAATAGAATATAATTTTTTATTGGCCAAGTGTGATTGGACACACAAGGAATTTGTCTTGGTGCATATGCTCTCAGTGTAAATAAAATACAAGATACGTTCATCAAGAAAAGATATGTTCATGAAGAAAGAGATGACTAAGCCAGCTGTACCCATTTCTGTTCATGTGCCCCTTATGTAATTATTTGGAAAGGTGATCTGCAGTTAAAAGCAGCTACAGTTGAAAGAGTTCTTGGAGTGGGTTCTCTCTCTCACTATTTTCTGCTTGAAAAGAGGAAAGGTGATGGGGTAGATTGCAAGAGAGCATTTGCACACAATTATTATTTTTTTTAAAGCAACATAAACTCCATGTTTAAAGAATGAAGTATTGTGTGTGCATTGGGTCATGAGCTTACATCAGAAATCTTGCGCTCTGAAAAATCTTTGAGAAATCATGCAGATACTAAAATCTGCAAGAAACAGACTGAAGTGAAGCTGCTTTGGGTTCCATGGAGGAAGAATAAACAAACAAGGTGCTTATTAATATTATAACACACTACATTTGCTGTACATTGCTGTACAATGTACATTTGCTGTACATTGCTTTTGGTCATTCTAAATTAAACTTCCTTGGTTTGAATTAGTTGAATTGAAACTAATAAATGATACTGGCATTCAAGATCATCTAGAAAATGTTATTGAGAATGATTGAAGGCAAATTATTTTCCCTTTTTTAGCTATAGTGGTTTGCAGATGTCCTTGTTCACAAGTCTAAATCTACAAAGCACAAAAAAAGGGAAAATATGTTTTTAATGACATAATTGAGAATGCTTCTGGCCAAGGAGCTGAATTTAAGTTCAGAAGTAGGAATTCTGTCTTTGGTAGTCTTATTTTGCAGCTGCCTCCTCTGATAGACAATGATAGGGGCAATGGCAGCTCTGATAGAGGCAACGAGGAATCAGGCTATAAACTGAAGAGACAGTTATTTTATCAAGTCTAAGTTCACACTGTTCTTTACTGATTTTCAGAGTGAACTCCTACAAATCCAATATTATACCTTATATTTTTATGATTTACAGATTGAGAGAAAAGATAGATGTTTGAATTCTATAACTATTAGAATGTATTTGATTTCATCTTTGGAGGTTAGAGTTCAAAATTTGAAAGGAAAGTACTTGCACATCCAGTTCCACCTTGGAGAAATGCAAAGGAATAATGGATATAGCTAGTGAGAAGTGTCTTCATTGCCTAGCCCAGGGGTGGGCAACTGTGGCCCTTTTACAACTGGTGGACTTCAACTCCCAGAATTCCTGAGACAGCCAAGCTGGCTCAGGAATTCTGGGAGTTGAAGTCCACAGGTCATAAAGGGACTATATTTGCCCACCCCGGCCTAGCCTTCTTGGTATAAAAAATATTTTTTCTTTTTTTCATTTGTTATATCCGTTTACCTCTGAAATACATCCAGTTTTTAAAAAAACCTTAAATACAACATTTTTATCAAACTCTATGATCTGTACCAACATAATTAGAAGCAGAATTAATCTGGATATTTTATTCGTTTATTTATTCAATTTATGTATACTACCCATCTTGCTATCAGGTGACACTGGGTAGCTTACAGCTTGATAAAAAGGACAATATAAAATGTTGAAAATTAAAATTAAATCAGTATACAATGGAATGGAAGTGGGGTTTTCTTTTTAATTCACTAACCACCTCAGTATGGAATGGAATGCCCTTATTGGGCCCCAAGGCCAATCAGTAGAACCAGCTTTGAGGTTTTTTCCGAAGACCAAGCGGGTGGGGACAAAATTCAGCTCAAGGGGCACAATGTTCCACAAGGCAGGAGCCAGAAAAGTTTCTTCTCCTGGAACCTGCAAGCCAGAATTCCTTGACTGATAATGTCTGCAGCAGGCCTCTTCTGCTGGAGCAAGTAGAGCAGGCCAATCCCATTGGAGCACGGGTGTCAAATTCGCCGCGTCACGTTTCGTGATGTTTTTCCATTCATGGAGCTGGGGTGGGGGTGGCCTGCGCATCATATATCTGGTCCCCGGGCCACCAGTTTGACACCTATGCATTACAGTATCAAGATAGTAGGTATTAACATACTTTTTCAGTTGCAGTAATCTTAAAGAATTTAATTTGTAGTTTCAAAGGATGCACTCATCTTTTGAGCATTAAGAAGTAATTTAAAATTTCAGTAAAGACCATCATAATATTTTCATGTTCCTGGAAGTTACAAGCAAGATTTGTATTTTGATTCACTATAATCACTTTATGAGAGAGACTCAGAAATATGTTTACTACTACTTTAAAATCCAGAAACTATACTGTAATATGAGAAATGCAACCCAGAAGGGGCTGTTCTCTGACATGTGGAAAACAAACAAACAACCCACCAGCTTTTGTTTAAAAAAATCAGATATCAAGGTTGGATCATAAGCTATAATAGATTCATAGTTTGTAGTAGTTTTCCATTCCAAGGTTTTGGAATGCGTAACAATAATATGCCTTCTAATTGACTTAAGATCTTTGACCACTACCAAGTGCTTTTTTAAAAAAAAGTAAAGTTAATACCCACAGTATTAAAACTCTTTAAATAAAAAGTCCCTTACAAAATGCAAAAGTAGAAATCTCTGCTTGGAAAAATGCAGTATAGCCAATATAAACAAAATTGTTACGTTCTGTATTTGCTTCTCCTAAGAAACAAATGCCTTGTTCACATTGGAGATGGGAATATCTAAAATAGGAATATTGGCTGAGAGTTTGACTATTAGCTATAGATAATGATCCATTATTTTCCCAACAGATTTATTGCTTTTTTTGTTGACAGTTATTCTTCAAACGGGGAAGTTACAGTAGAATGAAAAATAGCATCATGTGAGTTATCAGCAGATTTTAAAATAAGTTTGTGATATGTTCAAACTAAAGAAATATCCTCTTAAAGATTAAATATATAGAGCCTCAGACTGAAGCTGTTGTTACAAGACAATTAAACTTGGATTCTAAAAGAGTACTTAGGAACCTGCAAAATATTTAAATATTCTTAACTTTCCTGGGCCGAAAAAATTGTTTTTTCAAGCTAGGCATAACTTGCTTCCCAATACACATTTGTAAAACCTCATTAGTTGAACAACTTTCTATAGGGATACAGGGAAATAAAAATAGGAACAATATGTGCTACTGAACTGTGTGTTCTATAGGGATATTTGGAATAGTTTATCTTGCTGTGTTAATACCCTGGAACAACAGGTAATTTTTATGATTTTCCTCTGAGATATGAAATTACCACCTATATGGTACCTAAATTTTGTGTTGCTGTAATGAAAATGAAGCAAAAACTGATGCAAGTCTTAATTTTTTTTTCTTTTTCCTTATCTTTTTACATAATTTGTTGATTCTATCTTGAAATCGATTAATATAGATATTATATTGTAATTTTAAAGAGTGTTTGAATGTTTGGACTTCAGGGAATATTAAATCATTAGCAAAGTGCATCAGTTGTTCTCTCATGTTTCTAGTAACTGCAAGCCACATTTTTTATGTTCAACCAAGATTTGATTTGGATTACAATTTACTGCTCTTTAAAAGTATCATTATATTTTTTCTATTATTTAATTTCAAAATAACCTTATAGATAATATTTGCAGTATACTTGACTTCTGAAAAAAAATACACCTTAGCTTCTAGGTAAGTTCCCCGCAGTATTTTAAAATAATACTCTCAATGTAACAAGCCTTCTAATATTATATCTCTGTTTTGGCAACTATTATGAGATAATTTTAGAACTTATTTAAGATACAAATTTACTAAATACCCTACATATTTAAGTATCATGCTCTGCTTTAGACACTTAGTTTATTCAGTTTGAAATACACTTTGTATCTACATGCTCTTTTCTCCTGCCACACACCTACTCAACTTTATACAAGAGGTCTTAATTTTAGGAAACACTGTTTAAGCCTATCCTACAAAACAGAACCATTAAAATAAAAGTTATTTGATTTTTAATATTGATGTCTCTTTCAATGTATTCTTTGGTAGCTTGCTTATCCTAGTGCAAGATTTACAGTATATAGGAAAGAAGAAAGGAAAATACACATGCTACTTTCTATGCTTTATCAGTTTTTAATATTAAACATGGC